TGAAAAATTAATATTAGTTGAAAAAGTGAATAAAAAGTTAGTTAAAAAGACTTTATTGTCCAATAGACGATTTTCCAAGCAAAATATTCTCAGTCAAAAATTAGGAGGATGGATGATTTAAGTAGATCGTGCATTAGAAGTTTTCCAACTTGCGGCTGATTTGTCGTGCTGAAACTATGTAAAATACAGCCCTCTAGCTATATACAGGGTGTACAAACACTTTTGTTAGTTGGGAAATAAAACTGAAAATTTCATTTTGAAGTTTCAAAAAGAAATTTAAGTTGGAAAACTTCTAATGCACGGTCTACGTAAACACCCTGTACACAGTTAAGCTCAGCTAAATATCTATAATGCCTCAGCATTCGTATACTTTTCCTCTCTGTCCCGTTTAAACACGGTCCTGAAAATGTTAAATGGCAAAGGAGCCCGCATCTCAACGCCTGAACTGGCCGTGTTTTCATCCTTCTGCAGTCATTTTTATTCCGCGGGTTGCCATTGAATAATCACGCAATCTGAATATTGAATTATTTTCTAATCAAACTAGTCAGGTCACGTGTGAAATTTTAGCTGCGGACCTTTGCAGTTCCATTTTAAGTAACGTTTTGGAAAAAAAACAGTGGTGTGAAGCCCAGTCAAAACACAACTTTTTTGGATTGAATCAAAAAAAAATTGGGTAAGTAGAATCGTTATCTTCTATTTTTCAAAGATGTGCTTTGAGTTGTTGAATAATTCTTGTTAATTGGCGTTAATGTCGGATGTAATCGAAATGAATACTACATATTGATGACAACCGAAGTTAAAAATGATCATTATCGAAGAGTTTAGACATACTCAAATAACAAAGTTGGTAGAACTGTTTCATGAACTTCTTCAGATATTTTCGGGCTATCTTCGAAGTGAAATAAGCGCTTTTTATTTTAAAAAAGCTAGCTTTTTGGCGTGAAAAATTTCTTTGCCTGTATGATTTGTAGTTGTTCTAAACGAGCTTCGTTTTTCATTTAAATTTATTCAATGGATCGAAATATGGCCAATATTGTTTGTAACATGTTAGTGAATTTTCAATTTCTGTTCATTATCTTCACGGTTTATTTTAAGTGCAGGGTAAACGTGCGATCTGTTTATAATGCCTCACCACGTGTGGTGTTTATTTGTTCGATACGGATGCGTAAATGGTAACGATTGGTACAATTTACATAGTTTAAGATAAGATAAAATGTCTATAGTTGTAGTTTGAGGTGATAAAATAGATAGATACAATAATAGCTTAACACTAATAATTCTGGTTTTCACAAAAAAATTGTTGTTTGAAAAATGTTTTAAATAAACACTCAAACTGTTTATAACTCAAATTAATACAAGCAATAATTTGCGGTATTCAATATACTTGTTAATGCTAAAAGCATACGGGCAAATCTTGTAGCAACATTTAAAGTATTTGCAAATTGGATGTTAAAAAATTAATTGATAAATGCAATGCTTGATTTTTTATTTGACTTTAAAGTTCTACCTAAGCTTCCAGTTATATACGAAATAAATAACCGCAGTAGACCGTTCGGAAACATGCGAAGTTCAAAACGGAAGCAATTGTGGGAGTTAAAACATAACGCCTTATTGAAAGCAAATGTGTTTAGTTGTGTTATAGGGAGAGAGCAAAGCCTGTTTATTTACCGAATAATTTAATGAACTTTACATCCGTTATGTTTAATTGTTCAGACGTACTTGCATGTTTCTGTTAAATTTGATTACCAATTTCTAATATCTAATATCGGATCTTAACTTCGTACCTATGAAGAAACTTAAATATTATAATATTTACCAATATATGACCAAATTCAAATATTTAATTTAAGGACTTTCTGGTCTAAGTAATGAAGAATGGTGCAAAAAACTATTCCTTTAGTAAGAGTTTGCGTCCAATTTTTTGCTTTTAGGAGCTTTGCTTAAACATTTTTCTTAATTTAACCATACAGAAAAAGCTAATACAGTCAAGTTGTTATTGGTAATGCAACGGTCTTTTCAAGTAGTTTTCAACGTTTTCAACGTTTTCATCGTTTACATCTTACAACGGGATATGTACAAAGAAATCATTATTATTTTGCTGAAGGAATACGATCGCATTTACATTTTTTGAAAACCGACTTTTTGCTGCGATCAAGACAGAGCAAATGATTATTGTAAAAGCAATAAATCGGGACAAAAGTTAAATTCAAGAGACGCTAAACGTTATATAGTAACGCTGCAAAAAACCGTATGTGCTTAATATAAGTTTTAGTAAAAAATAATTCACAAACTTTAATGTGCAAATGTTGGAATAGTTTAGCGTCGATCTCGTTTATTATTTTTGATGCATAAAATTTTTTTATGCCAAACACCGTTTTTATTCTGATTTGGCTTTTTTAGTTTTTAGTAGATGCTGTACAACATATTTAGTCGTTTAAATATTATATCATCAGTAGGTCAGTGCTGATATTAGCAATAAATATATTAAAGAATAATATAAAGTATGCTACTATTATACCACACCTTCTTGCAGAGGCAAAAATAAAATTGTTAAATTTTTACTTATTTTATTGCTATCATAGGCCGTACACACGCCCCTGTAGACCGTAATTTGTACTTTTTTCTTTCTAAAAAATCTTTCTGGAATGTGGCATTACTAAACCCATACATTTTTTTTTATTTCAAATTTGTACATTACAATTCACTCCCTAACATTAACATATATCGTGTGGTTTTAAAATTAAAAGTGTGATTTTTACATTGTTTTAAATAAGCCTGATATCGCATGTGATAAAATTGAGCATCTGTTTAAATTTAAAATAAACAGTTTAAGTCAGGGCCATCGTGAATATTCAATTCTCACCATTTCTTCATGTCAGAGTGCATTAAGTTAACATTTAACACTAACAATGGCAGCCGAATGTTTATTTGAACTTGCGGATAATTAACTTAATAATTTACCCTAACAAAAAAGCATTCCTGGTAAACTGTTTGCTAGTTTAAACTGCAAACAATCTTTTGACGGTTTATAAAAAAAATATTAATAATCAAGCTATGTAGAAAGGTTTCCACTATTAGAGAGGGACTAGTAAAATTCGCTGGCATTAAATCATTGATAAATGTTTAAACTGAAGTCGCTCTACGGTCATGTAGTCTTTATACTGGTTAATAATATTCTATGATAAGTTTTATTGGTTAAATTCCATAGATCTTAGATTTTAGATGACTCCAAAAAAATAATCTAATGGAGACAAATCTCGAGATATTGGGTTAATTCAATTTCACTCTTTCTACGAATATAAATCAATCATGTTGCAACTTGTTCCCCACTGTGTCTTTTGTGGGAATTTCCGAATGAATTATTCCGTCATGAATTATTTGATCAAGTTGTTCTCGGGATAAATTGACTTCTTTATCAATTATATTTTCCAACATTTCCCCAAAAAAAATTTGAGATGTTAGATCTGGTGATCGCGGTGGCCACCTTAAAGGTGTTCCTGTTCAACAGTTTCAAGTGAATATTCAAATACTCTCTTATTCGAAGGGAGTTATGGATAGTGTTCCATTATGTTTACACACGCTGCATATTCATTTCTTTACTATTACAATAGCTCAATCATGGACAAAGCAAATTTTTTACTTTAGGAATGTAGAGCTAGAAAGTTAGGATAATAATTTAAAAAGTCTTTCATTGGTTCTATCATTTTGCAGAGGTAAATAAATCTAAATTTCCATTAAGTAAGAAGTGTTGGATATTAAAGACTCCAACTACAAGCCATTTAAAAAACCGTTCGTTTAATTTAAAGCCTTGGCAAAACAGTTAAACAGCAATTTTTCTACTTCCAGATTATGGATTTTAGAATAATACTTAAGGAAAACAACCAGAACACCACGGAGCAGGCGACTATTTACCAAGAAGAAAAAACAGTCGACTACACAATCACGTTTGTCATAGGGTCTTGTGTTCTAATAGCATTTTTGCTACTTGGAGTGGTTGCAAGCGCTTATTTGTGCGTAACTTTGAAGAAAGGAAGCTTCCTGTGGGTTACGGATAGTAATAGACAATTAGCTAAGGATAAATGCGAGGAAATCGGACAAAATGATAAAGACAGTATTAGTTTGAAAGAAATGAAAGTCCAAAGTAGTGAAGAAACGACACAGGTTTAATTTTTGCCTGGACGATAAACTAAAAAATTATATAATATCTATAAGTTTTTTCAAGATGCTTTGATTCGTGTTACTATAAACCCACTTCACACATTTTTGTAATTATATTTATTATGTCCCGCACTAGAATATGTTTGATTGAAGTTTATACCATGGAGCAACACTATATACTTAAAACTGTTACCAGACTACTTTTATTTTTGGTCTTCGGGATGACAGCAATAGATTTGGTCGCTTGAACTTGAAAAAGATAGTTTATTCATATACACAGCTAGCAAATACGTTGAACAAAATCGTGTCGTCATCCTTTACTGCTGTATCTCTTCCCTATAACTGCTACTAAGTGGTTGGATATTATTCTACTCTACAGGCTAATTCTGTACTAATGTGTAATATGTATATTTATCTGTAAACACATCAATTGGGGGTTATGATGAAAATAAAGAACAATTTGTCGTTGACAATATTGACATTTCGAAAAAGTGCGTTTCGACATTTAATGGATCCTGTTGAATTTATCGTTTATCCTTATTGCCACTTTCTGTATTCCTCCATGGTTACTGGAGTTTTCAATAATAACAAATTTCGAATAACTCTGTATACGAGTAGTTTAATCTGCGAGCGTTAGCTTGGAGTTAGAAAGGCAAATGTTTCTGCCGAGGTTAATTGAAGTCTACAGCAATAGAAAAGTGATTTAAAAGCCGAAGAATGTTCTCGAAATATCTTTCGAGTCTGAAAGACTCTGATGATCGGGATTTAGTTTTAGAACCGAGGATCTGCTCGAAATTCGCCTGGTTTTGTCATCCCGTGCAAAACTTGTATTTATCTATGATCCCGTGGTCTCTAATAATAGTCTCTAGTAAAAACTGTACACTTTTGTTCTTCGATGCCTTGATGTGGTCGGAAAACATCAAAGATGACTTGAAATATTAAAGAATGAGCGCAAAACTGGTATTTCTGATGAGGACAGTTTTGTCTGTTATACCTGATAAAGGCGAAGTTGCTACCGTAAAAAATGAATTTCTAAAGTATTGTGTAACGTGCAGGAGAACGGGTTAAGGGTAACTGATTATCCCCGAGCCAGTTTGTTGCATTGGTTGCTTTTCTGTGACTGTTTAAGAACGGTCGTTATTAAGTGATTAATAAAAATACTTGAAACTTTACAGTTTATTTTACTATTAAATTAATGTAACAATACATTTATTATAGCAACAAATAATTAACATCTATTTAACACTTAAGCTTTAAGCAGACTAATAACACAACATAAATACATAAATTTCATCATAAGATATGATGTTGAAACACGAGGGTTTTCAGAACAGTTAACAAACACATATTTTATAACAAAGCGTCCTAGAAATAATAAATTGAAGAAAACTTTTTTTATTTCTGAAGACTATTCTTAAAATACACGGCAATTAATGAAAGTTTTAATTAATATGCTTCTAAAGTTTGACACATTTGCATTTAAACTCTAAAATTATGTTTTTAAATCATTTTCTTCAATTAAAAAATAAATTCTAAATAAAGTGATCACAGTCACTAGTAAAAATAGATGTAAGAGCGCTTTTTAAAGGTCCCACCGATTCATTTAGATCTCCCTTTATATTGGAAAAATCGTACGTGTTGAAATGCTCTGTTAGTAATAATTCCAATTTTTGAGAAAACCAGCCTTGGTTACGATTGTCCATTTCATCTATAAGCTATTAAATAATAACAGTTGCTACAATAGAAACTGCCACAGCTGTTCACTTACCTTAGCCATATAACGCAGATCTCTAACAACTTCATTAACGTACGAGTATTCCAAAGTTCTTATTTTTTGTAAAATATTTTCCAGGTTAATCTAAAAGTATAATATACAAATACATATAAATAAATATAAAAGATAAGTGAAGATTAAGAAAAAAATGATAAGTAAAATTTAAAAAATTATAACGTCAATATAATTTAGAATCGTTTCAAAATACGAATGCTATTGAGGGAGAATCGAAAAAAGCAAAAAAGATCAAAGCTTACATAAAATCCGACTGAAAACGTTTTAGATATTTTCCAATTACTACAGCCTAAGGGTAAATGTATTTTCCAGAAATGCTATATAAGCCGTAAAAATAAAATTAGCCATGATATGACAGTATTATAGTACAAACAGTAAAACGTGTTTTAAAAATCAATTTTTTTTTGAAGAACTAAAATTCTCAATGGTAAAACTATCTTGCTTCGACCTAATATTTAAATGCCTTTTGTTTCCATTTGCCAGTTTCCGTGTTTTGAACATAATCGAACATTGATGTGACATGAATTAAACTGTTTTCTCCGTACTCCAAAAAAAGTTCTTTGCAACTCAATTGCTAATTTTAAATCATCAAGTCATGGCTCGTTTCCGTTGCATAACATAGCAAAATGACATATCGCCTCCCACAAAGTTTACAATTATTTAAGATGAACCTGTAGTCACCAATTAGTAGTTCCAAATTATAAAATGTAAAGTTAGTATAACTTGAAAAATATATTTCTATTAATAATAAGCTTTTAGGTATAAGCCGAGCTGAATGTACGTGCATTACAAGAAATATTGATTTTATAACAATGAATATAATATAAATTACCTCTCCATCAACAGCAGACCTCATCATATGTTCTCTGAAACTTTTCACCACATTTTCAAGTGCACATTGTCCGATTCCAGTTAATCCACCGCCTTTCAACTCGAATGGGTTGGATTCATTTCCCTGTGTTTGGGAATGTATGGGGCTGGATCCATGTGGTCTCCTAAAGCTTCTCGAGATAACAGTCTCGCCCATCCCATTTGCGATTCCGACTGTTGAGCCACTTCCATTAGGCGCGATGGATTGCTGAGAACAAAATTTCTTTCCTCGCTAAAAAGTTAGGTATTCACTTTTTATGTCATAAGTATCAAAGAGTAATTGTGTTTTGAAACACTTGAATGAACATTTAACGGTTAATTTGAAACACCCAAACAGCCTGATTGACAAAAGGCAAAAGCTTACCTGTAGTAAAGTGATAGGCGAGGAATATTGATTTTTATTGTCAATAGAAATAGATGTATCCAAATGGGGGAGAGTGTTGTAAGGACCATCTAGATAGTAAGTCTTCAGTTCTTGTAGGGCAGCAGGAGCCTGTGGTTCAATGAAGTTAGAAAAATTGTTATTTACCAGCCATTCCTGAACATTAATTGATGGTGAACTATCTGGGTTTATGGGAACCTAAAAGAACAGAATTCTAAACAGTAACTGACTTACACAATACATTTTAACGTTTCACATATGGAAGTAGTAGTGGTAGGGCATTTGACGAACTAGCACATTAGCTAAACATTAGAAGCAAAACTTTGTAAAATTTCATTAAACTTAAGTGAAATCTCCTATACAAGGTGATTCAAAATTGGTGTCGTTCTTTTATTGTCACCATAACCTCAAATTGATGTGTTAACAAAAATACTTTCTCTGTTTAACTCCAAACCAGTTTGTGCCTGCTGCGCCCAGTTTGTGCCCATTTATTACAAAAAAATATCTCGTTTGATTGGATTCTAATGTCAGTTTCCTCATTGTGCCCTCATGGCCATAAACTATTATTATGATTATTGATTATACCAACAATAATTGTCCCCATTTGTGAAATTTTTATTATAACAATAAACATATTAGAAATATTTGCAGTTCGAAACACGTACCTCTGACTCCAACAGGTGTGGACAACTATCATCAGCTTCAGATAGTGATTTATATTCTTGACTCAACGTTTTCCCTGCTGATAGAAGTATATTTGCCCAATAACGTCCATTGGATGCTTCTCTAACTTTGTTCACGTTCTGGGCAGTTTCAAGAAATTCTATGCCTCTGGGACTATTTCCGGAAGCTCCAGGTTCCAAGCCTTTTTTTGGTACGTTGTAGCTCCCTGGTTTCATGTAAACCCTACTTTACAAAGCCAGGGTTAAAAATGTTGTTAAGAACCAAGCAAGTCCTCTGGATGCAACCTTCTAGTACGCTCTTCCTCAGAATCATATTCTTCTTTGGCACAAAAATCGCCAGAATAAGTTTGATTGGCTTGATCAATAGTTTCCGTCATTGGAGGAGAATTGTTAATAGGTAAATGGAGGATTCCCCGAATGTTTCTAGAAGAGTCGCTTCCGTTAGTAACAGTAGATGTAGTAGCAGTATCGCTTGAGGTTGTAGGTTTTTTCATGGCTCCTTCCGAAGCACTTTTAACCAAATTGATCTGGAAACACATGTTATAAAATTGTTACCAATGCAGTATATTAACCAAATGTCCCAAACCGAGAATTAGGTATTTACAATCAATGAAATAATATTTCTAACTAAAAAATGTAAACTTCTTTGCAGCGTCTTATGCGGAAACACTGCGAAAGAACCGAAGTCATAATCCATTTAAGATATGATATAACAGATGTATGGATATCGATATGACAGCAATTTTATTCAGATTTTTTCAATTTAAAAAGTGTAAAATTTGGTCGCTACTTTTGACGCAAATGTTTAGTTAAATGAGGAAACTTTAAAAAGGTGAAAATATTGGAAATCGGGGCTTTTGAGGTCTTAAAAAAAATACTCAGACCCGTTAAAACATGTAGCTGTGGTAAATTTTGCTGTAATTATTACGCAAAAGAATCCTCACAAAGAAATTGAATCAAGTGAAGAAGTAGACTAATGAAACTCAGATGTGAGACTAGTTAATTCCCTAAATTTGGCAATTAACTCAGAAGTGCTACTATTTCACTTCTCCAACTTTTAACATACGTACATTTTGTTTTATTATCTTTGAATCATTTGTGAAAAACCAGTTACCTGTGATGGTATTAAGTTATTAACCGAATACACATTGGCCCCTGAACTGGACGTATTAAGATTTGTGTCTAGATTGTAGAAAATTTTTGTCAACTGTCCAGCCAGTTCC